GATGAACATGTGTTAAAAATTTCGAGTCGCTACGACAAACCGTTCTCGGGTTTTAGTGTTGACGGACGGACGGACAGACAGACAGACGGACAGACTAAAGACTAACTAACCGATTGCATAAAGTAGCTTGCGCTACTTAATAATGGTGCAAGCATTCCATAGATTTTCTCACGGTCAGCAGCAGCACGTATGCAAATACATTTTCTACAGACCGCCCTTGCACAAATATTTCCATAATTATTAAATAAATAGGGATCCATACTATCTGTAAATCCTTGTTTCCTTGTCTGCAATAGCCGCGTTCAAGTTCAACATCTTTGACCAATGTAATCCTTAATATGGCGTAATATAAATACCTGGTAGCGGGCAAGGTACTAAAAACAGCAAACTAAGCAAAAAATTAACAAGAAGATGTAACACTAGCCTATAAGCCCGTCTTACAGACGGGCCACAATTTGTTTAACAGTAATGTAACAAAATTAAATTGGAGCGTTGTACAACTGATTGGCCTCCATGAAAATTATATCTACGGTGTTACATAAGAGCAGTAATAATAAAATAATGTGGCCACAACAATATTAATAACAATATTACTAACAATATTAGGGTGTGGTTTTCAAATTTCGAATATTCAGTCGGGATTGGCTCAACTGGCTGAGAAAATTGATATATTGCATTCCAATGTTTCACGTAGCATAATTCAGTCGCCGATTACCACACCCCCTGAGGGTGTGGTTTTTAAGTTTTCGAATATTCAGTCACGATTGGCTTCACGGGCTGAGAGAAATGGTATATTGGATGGCAGTACTTTATTTGGCTATATTTAGGCGTTAAGAACGACACCCCCTGAGGGTCGGGTTTTAAATTTCTAATGTTATATCCCGACTAGCCTTATCTGACTAAAATATTCATATTTCAGTTTATGGCACGACTTTGGGATAAATAATTACAAATTTGTAATTTTGGAATTGCACTTAGGACTTTTTACTAGTTTTTATCGTGCACTTAGGACTATTTAGAATTAAGCATCGAGTGCACTTAGGACTTTTTAGAATTAGAACGACGATATGTTGTCAATCTAGATTTGATCAGACACGAACAACTTGATGGTTTCCAATGATTTGAAATGTAGTTAGTCTGAGAACCACTTTTTTGCAATTAATACATATACATATACAAACGAGTTTCGAGTGAATAATGGATAAATGGTGTACGTATGATGTATTCATATTTATTTGATTGAGTTTTCGAAGAGAATGGCATTGAATGCGAACAACTTTCGGGACGGACTAAATATTTTTTAATTATTCATCATAAAGATTTACTCTATTGGATTGTATAAAGATGATTACTGGATACTTACAAATTTATTAAATTTCGAGCCAAATCAAATTGTTTGAATTAACCAAATGTCGTTGTCGAGTTCCATAATTATTTCGTTCCTGTTGTTTTTCGGTCGAAAATTACTGATGTAAGTATAATGAATGATACAGTCTAAGGATTAGTCCTAAGTTGTCGACGCATATACGATTGTGAATTTGATATGATTGTGGAAAATTTATATTTGTCAGACAACTGTTTTATTAAACTTTTTCATTTCATTCAACATTTTCAATTCATTTCAATATTATGCTGAGACAAAATTACCCTATGCATAGTTAAAAGTAGAATTGAACTACGTAAGACAATTTGACGTAGTCCGGGTTGAGTTTTTTTGGGCACGTTTAGTTTAAGAAAGTCAATTCCGCAGATCTTTCAGTTCCCAACAAATAATAAATTGAAAAAATGCCTACATCTTCCGCTGATTATACATTGGTTCACCCAAGAATGTGGGATATGCTCGACTTCGCAATTCGTAAATTCAGAATATTATACGCCATTCCATATTCCCTCAACTTAAAACAGAAGAAAATTGAACTGTTATCTGGTCGGACCGCTAAGGTGCTTCGCATAAGAACTCAGCTGTGTTTCTGTGGCCTCTTGCTTTTCACGTTTATGTGCTGGGGAATACTCGCTTGGGGATCGACTGGGAGGACGACATTCAATCGCAAAAATATAGAATATCAGCATATCCTAATTCTAATGTTCATGTCCGTTATTCCTGCAGCTGTTCTCGGGGCGAGCTATCTGATGGCTTTCACCCCATGCGTTGCCGCAGTTATACTTAAACAAATTGCGAAATTTGAGATTGCACTGACCGGTATAAACAATAATATACGAAAATTATGATGCATATTAAATTTTGAACTTTTCAAATTAGGGTTTATGGACTGTCCTCAACACGGAAAAAACAGGAATGCGTCCAAAACATCCTTCCTTAATATTCTTAAAATTGTTTTTTACATAATTGCGCCACTACCATTGATTATTCTCCCTATCATGGTAGCACTTGACTTAGACCCGCTTAGCTTTATTATAACTACCCACAATAGATTGCCAAAAATCATTAACCTATTAATCCTTCTTTCACGGACCGTAGTAGCTGTAAACTTAAGTTTGGAAGTCTTAAAGTCTGCTGCGGCATTCCTAGGCGGAGGACTGCTTGTAGTGTACTCTACGAGCCAGGCTGTGACCGAAATCAAACGTAACGTGACTCTGAAAGTAGAACTTGACAAAGTCCGGACGTCGCACGTAATTATACTCTTCCGGCAACTCCAAGTTTGGAATGTATTCACAAATGATAATTACTTAATTTCGCCGTACCGCCATTAGTGATTTTCGGAGTTAGCACAATGATTGTTACAACATGTATTTCGATTAAGGCGTTTGATAAAATTCCGATTTTTGTGTACATTGTTGCTCCAATTGCCGCCTTTGTGGCTTTATTGTTTCTGGTAATTTTTTTGCCAAGTGCTGGGGAGGTTTTCCAACAATCGACGAAATTCATCTGTACTGTACAGCACAGATTCTTTGGCAAATATGAGAAAAGAGTGGCACGATCATTAACTTCAATCGGAATAAGATGCGGCCAGTTTGGGATGATATCGACTACCTGGGTATTGGACGTGGCTGCCTTTATACCAGATCAGATCGCCTCTTTGCTGCTAACTTTTTAGAAACTGAATGAATTAGTATATATTTATGTTGGGACATTGTGCGAGTCGAATTACAGCCAACAGATAGAATCATTATTGTTAAAAGTATTGCTGCACACTCGGATCCTCCCAACTCGATATTTCCTACAGACAAATGTGACACAATTTTCAATTACAAAAAGTTTGCGTTTCTTGTTGAAAGTAGTAACGGATCTCGTGATTTTCGATTTGTATTTGATCCTTGTTATTGCATGATTTGTACAAATTCGGAATGAAGATGTTGAAACTAGGAAATGGGTAATCATGGTGCATTTCCTCGTAGTTTTCGCCTGTAACAGCTATGCCATTATCATCGGAATCTTGGAAAGCAAGGAAATCCTATACCTTGAAAAAGGGTCACAATAAAGCGCAACTGGTTGCAAAAATGGCAAAATGCAAAATTTGCTATTCCTCCCACATATTGATGAATGTTGTTGAGGGATAGGATTTCTACGCGATAAAAGAACGTGACTATGATGGCGGGATAAAATTAAGATAAAATTTTTCCCAGTTAGGAGAGATTAGATCATGGGATCTCGAAACCTCTATATTTTTACGTAGCGTATCACTTCCTACCCTTTGCGGGCATATGATTTATGAGAAGTAGAATTTAACTTATGTATGGGTCAGCAGGAATTTGCTGCTAATAACCTTTCTGCTTCTACCCCTTTAAATCAGTCAGCTAATAGTTAGAGGATAAAGCCATCTGGGCAATCCAACTAGGTTATTGCACGTTATCATATGCATACATGCCATGTCGTCGTTCTAATTCTAAAAAGTCCTAAGTGCAGTCGATGCTTAATTCTAAATAGTCCTAAGTGCAGTCGATGCTTAATTCTAAATAGTCCTAAGTGCAGTCGATGCTTAATTCTAAATAGTCCTAAGTGCAGTCGATGCTTAATTCTAAATAGTCCTAAGTGCAGTCGATGCTTAATTCTAAACAGTCCTAAGTGCAGTCGATGCTTAATTCTAAAAAGTCCTAAGTGCACGATAAAAACTAGTAAAAAGTCCTAAGTGCAATTCCAAAATTACAAATTTGTAATTATTTATCCCAAAGTCGTTCCGTAAACTGAAATATGAATATTTTAGTCAGATAAGGCTAGTCGGGATATAATATTCGAAATTCAAAACCCGACCCTCAGGGGGTGTGGTTCTTAAATTATAATAAATAAAACATTGGCATGCAATGTATCATTTTTCTCAGCACGTGAGGCCAATCGCGACTAGATATTCGTAACTTATGTCACACTTGGTTTGTGTGACGAGTATGCGTTGCATATATTTGTAAGAGTTAGGAAAAAGTTCACTCTCTTCCCAACTCAAGCCAACTCACGAGTATAAAAGCAGTGACGAGAGTCACTCTCGTGGTTCAGTTTGTATCTTCTGCTGCTCTTCTTCCTTTAATAAATAGCTCACTTTCTTTTCCACACAAAAGTCTTGTGTCTCAACTTGTCCACTCATTTCCCCACTTTTTCCTTGAGATAGGAGATCAGCATTGCATCTTGCATAATACCAAATTCCCCCACACCTCGCCCTCAGCCTTACACTCGCCACACGACCACAGCCTTTAATATTATTTAAGGTGTGACACTTAGAAACCACACCCTCAGAGGGTGTGGCAGTCGGCGCCTGAATTAAATTAAATAAAACGGTGACCTGCAATATATCATTTTTCTCAGCGCAAAGAGGCAGTCGCGGCGGAATATTCGAAATTTAAAAGAACATATTCCAGGGGTGTGGTTCCCCGCGTCTAGTTTATGCTAATAAAATACTGCCATGCAATATATCGTTTTTCTCCGTGGAAAAGGCAAACATGATTGAGTATCAGTGTTACAAATTTAAAACTGTACGATAAGGGGGTGTGGCATTAGACGAATAAACTAAGCTAAACAAAGGCTTCGGAGGGTACAGGGACTTGCACTACGCATGGTAACTGGAGCTCTTCCGACTACTCCAACCGCGGCTCTGGAAACCCTTCTGGGTATCCTCCCAATCCACCTTAGGCTGAAAGAGGTGGCTCTTCAATCTTATCTGAGATTGAGGGTCCGCGGTCAGTGGCTGAATTGGGTTGGATACGGTCGCGGTTTAAAGAAAATCTCACACATTGAGCTGAGCTCAAGTCTGGCTCAGAAGATACCTGAGTTGGGCTTTCCTTATGACTATAAATCTGCTAAACCTCCCGAGGCTCGTAATTTTCAAATACGGGTCGTCAACAGGGAGGAGTGGGTAGATACGTACGACAACTACCCTGAACTACCAGGGCTCATCTGTTTCACGGATGGATCCAAGGGCAAGAGTGGGTCTGGAGCAGCCTTCATAATTGGGGAAGGCGGCAATTTCCTGGAAGGGGCTAATGGCGTTATACCCTTAGGTGGGTATGCTACGGTCTTCCAGGCGGAACAGATTGGGGTTCTCTCGGCGTGCGAGTACATGTCAGAAAACTTGAGTCAACATAAGGAGGTGAACATCTTTGTTGACAATCGCAGTGTCCTTGATTCCCTTCTCAGTGAGCGACTTTTGTCGTCGCTCACTGTGGAGCTTCACAGGGCGCTGCAACAACTAAGTATTCACACAGACATTACCTTGCATTGGATCCCTTCTCATCGGGGTTTATGGGGTAATGAAGATGTGGACGAATTCGCTAAAGAGGCTGCTAGTATTACAACTTGCGATCCAGAGCCAATAATCCCTGTCAATGCAGCAATTGGGAGATTCGCCGTTAAACAATGGGCTCAGTTTGAACATCGGGTCTATTGGTCGAAACTACTTAATTGTAAGAATTCAAAATTGGCCCTGCCAATACCGCACGAGGGTCTCAGTGGGAAATCACTTGGGCCCACGAGGTATGGTATGAGGCTAACAACTTTTGCCATCACAGGCCACTGTAATTTGAATGGACATCTGTATAAAATGGGCTTAGTCGAATCTCCTACCTGCGATAAATGCGGAGAGGAGAATGAGACAATGGCTCACATACTTACAGACTGTCCCGCTTACTGTGCCTTGAGATTTGAAACCTTTCTTCGTTCTACCTTAAGGATGGAGGAGGTATGGGAGCATCCACTCAAATTAGTGCTGGGCTTTTTAACAAGGTCTGGCAGATTCGCCAGCTTTGTAGCTGGGGAATCGAGAGAGGCTCCAAAACAATAATCGCGTGCGAGTGCATTTGAGGTGTCTGCAATAGGTCCAAATGGTGACCTGCGCGGCTGGATGTCTGCCCCTATGGGCAGGGATCCTCCTCACATAATACATACATACATACAAGCTAAACAAAAATCCTGCTATGCAATAAATTAATGCAGTATGTATACCGAGCCTTCGTGTCAACATATAATTTTAACGCCGAGCGCTTGCAAATCAGTGTGTGTTTTATGTTAAATCAGGCATACTTTACGACAAACCTAAATTCAATCCCAAAATTTTCTTAATTATAAATGGGCAGATGAAAAATCTTGAACATCTTTTCTTAAATGTTTACAATTTTTGCACAGTTTTCTAATATTTCTGGGTTGACATTAATCCGTATTTTCGGGTATGTCCTTCTGTATATGTCCGCTTATACTTAAGAGGTTTTGTGTTATTTGTAATGAATTTATTTTGTGACTTTTCAAAAGTTCAAATGTCAGTCCGTCCGAATTTAATATGACGTGGGCTGACATCTGTACTCGATCAACACTTGGGTAGGTTTCCTGGTAAATGTTCTATAATACAATAATAATAATAATAATAATTTATTCTTGAAAATTCTTGCAAGGCTCATGGCCCATAGAATTACAGGTTATTACATTAATACGATTTTAAATAATATTTGGATCCGAGTAAGCAAACTACAATAAATATTCATATCATCAAAGTATACATATCTAGAATGTTCTAGAATGTTCTAGAATGTTCTAGAATGTTCTAGAATTTTCTAGAATGTGGTAAATGTTCTAGAATCAACCTGAAGGGTTATATGATGGTTATTTATGGCACGTACGCTTTCCATGCCAAGAATTTACCATTCTCAATAATTGGCACTAAAATATTTAAGGATGATTGCTTTCTTCGTAATGTGTCTTTTCAAATTGTAATATACTAACGCAACAGAACAAATAACCATTCGTGCATAACTTTTATAAATTGTTTGCAGCATTGCTTGGCAAGGCCAGGTTAGATAATAAAATGCGGCAAAGCACGATACATAAGTGGCGCAATAATGCTGAGAATGCTGAGAATGCTGAGAATTATTTTGCGCTATAAAGCTCAAATTAATTAATTAATTAATTAATTAATGCTCTATACTGCGACATGTCGACAACACCGAAAAACATGTTTTCCCCAAATTTCATGCATATCGAACGCAAAATGCCGAAATTGGGCCATGGCGACAAAATTTGTCGTCAAAACCTTAATCGCCATATTGCGACATGTCGACAACACCGAAAAACATGTTTTCCCCAAATGTCATGCATATCGACCAAAAAAAATTAGGCCATGGCGACGTTTTTCGACATGATGTCGACAAAGTAGCCACACCCCCTTAATAGGGAGTCACACCCTACCCCTGTTGAACATGTGTTAAAAATTTGAGGTCGCTGCGATAAACCGTTCTAGAGTTTTAGTGTTGACAGACAGACGGACAGACGGACAGACTAACTAATCGACTAACTAACCCATAAAGTAGCTTGCGCTACTTAATAAATAATTCCACAGGATTTAATAATTATTGAAAAAAAATTGAGGATTAAGAATTCTAAGGAGGATTGAAATACAATCTATGAAAAGAATCCAGTACAAAACAACAAAACACCTAAATAATAAATGTAATTGATTCTTAATTGGACTTAATTGAAACTATCCATCACATGGGGTAATCCTAAATGATACCTATAAAGTCGTTCGTCGTCGTCGTCGTGGAACCTCTTTACTACTGCACATTGAAAATCTCAAAATATTCGATTATGTCCAAACGGTTCCGAAAGTTATGGGATCCTGCCCTTACTCCAACAAATACGTCATTAGTCTTTACCATATCCCGCATTGTGTTTGTCACAAGTCCATCACAATTCATTTTTGCAAATGGTAAATTTCATATTGCAAATTCCTCACGGCACCTGAGATGCCGAATACTCGCCCGTTTCAGCCTAGTGCTTCACCTCATTCTTATATTACGATGGTTCCAGGGTTATCTTCATATCTCCAGCGATATCGCGTTCTGGAAAGCTGTCATGATGACATATTTCCTAGCCGTGTATATTGCATTACTCATAGTTCTGGTGCACGAAACTCGAGTACTTAACGACGTCCTGTTTCTATTGAATTATTGCATCCAAATTGAAACGCAATGGGTGGCGGAAAGTTAGCACAGGATTAAACATTTTCAATTAATTCATTAAGTAACTTCCCTACCTAATTTTTTTTCTCGTGAATTTTTAGGAACTTCAATCATAGTTCATCGATATTATCTTCTATTCGCTAACCTCCTGAATTTTACTGTACTTGATTTTCCAATTGCAATAACTGTCTTAAGCTTGTTTCAGCCCTGTATGCCGCCGTTGCTTAGTAGTATGCTTATACTGGACTGTAAATCTTGGTCCGATGATGGAGGATCACGTATCATGTCCCGAATCGGCATTGCTTTAGTGGAAGGATACACATGGACAATGGCTGCATCTATTGCCGGCTTCACCATAATTGTGGTATTAACATACCCCGTGGAAATAATTTTGTTATGGATAACCTTGTTGAGACGGTAATTTGAGCTAACAAATTTCCAATCTAAACTAGGGTGCCGGATTATGAAAATACTATGATTTGTGATTTTTATCCATTCTGTGATTTAATCGATTTTGATGGTCGCCACCTTGATGTATACATATTGCAAAGCTTAGTAAATGTATTAACCTGCTATGAGGCGATCAACAAAAGCACATAAATCACAACATATCACACTGTGATGTGATTTCCGGAACTCAGTTCTCAACGGGTTAAACATACACAGATTCTAATAATTTCTGTGATTTAATTTCTGCTAGGAAAATACAATTTGCCGTGAACCCAAATTTGCTAACCAAGTACCGGTTCGTTCAGATTACTACTAAATTGTTCAACGACGTTTGGAAAATGCCTGCAATGTCGGCAATGGTTGCAACATGTGTAATTATTGAAATTGTTGCATTGTTTATCCTGACCACGTCCCTGGACAAATTACCTTTACCTATCACTGGGCTCTTTCTCCTTCTCGCAATCATTTTCTTTAATGTGATACAAGGGTTATTTAAAGTTTTGTCGAAACCGTTTGAAAATTCGAATATGTTCGTTATCGAAATAAGGACGAGAAGCAACTCAACGTGGGTAAAGCGTTTCATGAGGTCATGCCCTCCTGTAAAGATATCAATGGGAAATTGTGCATATTTTGATGGGTTGTCGGCACTGGTAATTTGGCAATTTTGCATTGATAATTTGGTAACGATATTGTTAATTTAAAGAAGAGTATTTATAAACGAAGTCGCTTGCTAATTATTCTAATCAATTATATAAAGAAACGATTAGCGCTGCAATAGAGTTATTCTAGTGAACATTAAATCCACGTATGATCAGTAATATTAAAAAGATTGCGAGTATACAAGATATTCCTGTTTCTATTAGTTTGCTTAATGGTTCCTAGGGCATTTGTTCATTATTTTTAATTTTTACTGTGTCCAGATTAATAAAAATTTGCTGGCATTTATTATTTTATACAATCTAACCACGTCGGTATTTTGTTGGGCTGTTTTTGTATAATAACATATCATTGCCAATTTCATTTCAGATTTTAAAAAAATAAAATTTACTGAATTCAAGAATAATCTGCCCATTATGTACATAAGTAATGGGAAACGGCATTTTTAAATCGCAGTAATTTACAAAAATTAATTTGCAAAAACAAACATTTGTATTTAGTAGGGCCCTGTTACCTTTCACTCGTTGCCGAACAGTGAGTTATATTAGTTGCCGCAAATATTTAGGTCAATATCTACGTTCAAAAACATACTGAGTTTTAATTATTGGACTTCTATGTTGATCCGCCCTTACAACTCTACTCTAGATTAAACCCCCATCAAGTAAATAAATAAAAATAGGTTTAAATATTACTTTGCAATCATTTATGAATACATTATATAAATTACCAAATCTACTATTTCACGTAAAATATAGGCCAACTAGAGGATTGAGTTAACCAAATCCAGAGAATATGGTCATCCCAACCCAGTTGCTGTACATTTTTTTCACATTCAGTTACAAAATTCTATCACAATATGATTTTAAAATTAATTTTCTTGCATATATATCGGAGATGTACAATCTTAAGTTACTGAAAGATTGCATGGTGGATAAAAAGTCATCGAGTCATAGTGAAAATCAAAAGCATCGCCTCCTGCCGTCCAAAAATACAGTGTGCACCCATTTAGAAACATTTGTATCAAAAACATGAAAATCTGGACATATTGGATTAAGAGAGAAACTTTGGAGGACACACGTACTATCTACGCGAAGTTAAAGCTAATCTTAAATGTCAACGTGTCTATGAAAAGGGACATAGTCCACTCATTACTTATTAGTAAGCAATATAATGCAAAATAATAATGCGTAGACTGTGCTTAAAATTGACACCACCTGAGGTAAATCAAGAAACAACCAGTTTTTTGTATTTTATGTATAAACAATAATAATAAGTTTTATCAAACGCTGTAGTTCAGGTTGGTGATGTAGGGCTGTTGCGGAATTTTTATTGGGGGCTTGATTCAATTGTGTACCGCAATATATACATATATGCTGCAACTTGAGATGTTCTGGTTCCTCCGGTTGCATCGGGGCCCACTTATCCTTCGGATTCGACCTTCGAACTGTCCTCCTTCACAACCAAAATCCACAGACGTCACGTCACGTAACAGGTCCACTGATAATCTTTGAATGATGACCTTGCGGTGAGGAGAGACATTGTGGAATTTTAAAATGCACGTTGAGCAAAATAATAACGGGCAACAATATCTCCGAATTTCTAACCGCATCCACAATCAAGTACTTTAAAGTACGAGTTCCTCCCTGGAATATACTGTAATGGCCATCAAAGCTTCCGTGGGCAAGTTGAAGGTTAAACAGACTGTGGAGAGTCACTCCTGTTTAAATGCAAACACGCAAGTTATTATTGATGAAAGGCGGTATAGGGTAAGATGTTTAAGTTACCAGAGATATTACGCGCGCTGGAGCCTGTGTATGTATCAAGGGTCACATAAAAGTGAATTTTAAAGTTTAAAACTTGGATATCTTAATGTGTACGTTCATATTGTTCCGTCGTATCGGTTTTTTTTGTTTCATCAATAGGCACACCTTTGCTCTCCCCAAAACATTACCAATTTAAGTTTGGCCGTTGGCGATTTTAAATGGAATTGACTATATTTATGGCAAGTGATTGACCGAGCGAATGGACAACTGCTCTGGATCATGTCTTGAAACTGTTGGAACTAGTCTTGCAAATTTGTTGCGGTCCAAATATGTCCTCCAATCCACCGTAAATATGTGGTGGATAGAATTAAGATGGACGTTCAAAGCCATATTCGCAAGAAGGACTTTGTAAATTGCATCGAACAAATACTCTGCAGAAATAAAAAACGATGTTATCAAGCTGATTGATTTATTTTCATATAAGCATGTTCGACTAAGTGCAAATTTAAAGGATTTTAATTAACCATACATCGTATTCAGCTATCTCAACTTCAGCCATCACATCATCTGCAGTTAATGCATCAGTTTCAACAAACAGCCCAACAATAATACTAGATGTAGCTGATTTCCCCCAAAAGTTAATTGCGTATAATGTTTAGAGATTATAATGATTAGAGAGCCAATCTACCGTAAATTCGGTTTCAAGTACATGTACAATTTTAAATTCCACGAGGAAATTATCTTCTCATTATTATATTATATTATATTTACTCGAGTTTAAACTAAACAAAGCCTTAATACGACAATTCCTTTGCATAAATTAACAACAGTTCTAATGCAAGTTTTATACATAGCAAGACATTAAGGAGTATAGGCACACCGTTGCTCATACATATCTCCAATCGATAATTTTAAAATGTTATTAGTAAAGCCATACTTTCTGTACTGTCCTAAATGCACATGTATTTCGTGATTCAACCTATTGTTCGTTTATTTAAATTATAGGCACTCAGAACAATGAAAAGTTATGTTGCAGACGGTTGCCGCCGAAAATTCGAAAATACAACAAGATTCCAGTTCAATTGTAATTTGTGATCTTGTTAATTTAAAACGCCAGTTAATCTTTTGGGAGACTTACCAAGAAATTGTGCCTAATTAATATGAATGAATAATGGTTTTGTATGAAGTCGGAGTTGAGGATAGAGGTAGCATATATATGTATTATTAAGATGAATGAATACAGGTAAGTACTTTCTGAAATCTAGCTTATCCAGGTTTATACGACATTAGCAATGTAATTGTCCAATCCTGAATTGTTGAGAAGAAGGATCCCAGAACAGGCTTATCAATCTTGTAGAAGATAAGATCATCTATCCCCGCAAAAAAACATAATGGACGCATTGCTCTCACGGTCTTGTTCAAGAGCGCTTTGCCCCTGCCTTGCAAGGCGGTATTATGTCTCCATAGGCGCAGTATTTCCACTGAGCGCTCATGCATATCGATTGCAACTGGTAGCATCGCTCGCATCACAGAGGTCAGAATAAACCCCAGTATTGGGAACATCATGTAGTACATGAATGGGAGGTCGTAATGCAGGAACCGAATCGTTGCAAAATTTAGACACACCAGGAAAGAAAATCCAACAAACATCAGCAGAAGCGTTTGAGTTGTAACTAACCTTTGTGGAATGATGACGAAGAGTTGAATCTTTTTGAAGATACGGACACTGGTTTCCCTTAGGAATTTATTTCGACTATAATTGAAATTGAATAATTTTGATTAGATTATTAATTCATTAATTCATTAATTATTTATAAACTCGAGATATAGTGCCACTCTTAAGAATTCGATAATAGCCGTTGAGCATATATATGACTCTATCGTAGTGGTAATATCTGTTTGCTGACTGACAGTGATAGCATACTACTGGTTGGTGACAGTTTAACACCGAAGAGCTATCGTATTGCGGTGACTAATATCACCATTATATTACAATGTTGTAGACAATTCTGTAGAGTATGAATTATTACCGAATTCTGAAGAGTTTGACCACCTACCCAAATTCAGTTGCATCATCTAAGAGTTTGATAATACTCTGGACAAATAACTGTAACGGCATGGCAAGGAAGAACACCACAAACGGAAGTGTCCTTTGGCATTCCATGAAGAATGTATATGTCAATGGTGTTCTTATTATGATATCAATAACCCAAATGATTGGATTTCCCCATACTCCTAGCCATATCCATAAGTCATGAATAACAAACCCACAAATATCCAGCCTTAGAAGTACCACCATTGGAAATATCACAAATCGTGAAGTAGTTGTGGAGGTTGTTAAGCAAACAAGATACAAGATCCCTAAGCAACACCATAAAATATTTTTAACGAAATATTAACCATTTGGATCAAGAATTTGATACCCATTATATCAAGTTTTCCATTCTTCAAATGTAACCCAGGTATTCCAAAAATTTCCAAGATCGAATCAATACGAGATTTTGGTACGTACGTATTTTTATCATCTACAAAATATAGTATGTTGCATGTTGTAATTATCATTTGCGAACTGAATCGACATTGATTAATCTACTCAATTGTGGTAATCCAGCTGGCGGTAAATTACCTTGTCGAAAAAACGATTGCTAACAGTACAATAGGATTTTGCCACTTTGGCTTGGGGAATTGGACGAAGAAATAACTGGTTACAAACCATTGTTTTTTCAGACAAGGTAATTTAGCGCCAGCTGATTACCACTATTAAATAAGTACTTTAGTTGAACAATATGGTTAGGTATGTACCCGTATCATCGGTCATCAGTTCTTCATAGGCTTGTAGATTCTGGTTAAGCAGCAAAATCCCTAGCCGCCCACTGAGCAGTATGGTGATTCCGATCCCGCATAGTGTTCCACATGTGATGAAGACCATGCAATATTGAACAATTTGAGCAATGGTGAATCCTGGTCGTGGTGATATGAAGTGCCAAAATATAACGTATAGGCAGGATCCACCTGTGAGGAATGGAAAAATTCCAATCAGCGAGAAATACCATCCAAAAAATTTCCATGGTGTTGATTCATCGAATGTGAACTTTCTCCTTGCATAGTTAAATCCAACTGGCGTCTGAGGCAACCCTTGCTTATTTAGACGAAATGCCTCATTGATGGAGTAAAAAATCAGTGGGCTAGGCATTGGTTCTTAACAATAAGATAAATTGGAAACATCCACAAATGACCTAATATTCGGATCGGTATAAGGCTAGCTACGAACTGCGAAAAAATCAAGCTTGTAACTTGAATTTATTGGCCAGCTAGGTTGCCTAACCTAACAAAACACGGCTATCTATTTCTCTCGCTTTAGTTTAATTGATGATTATATTTTCATAAACAAATCCTTCCTCCGAAGCGAAACTCTGAATCGTTTCAAATATTTATAATAATTATATTAACTTGGGGATTGACTAGAAACTCAAATCCACAAAAAGAGTTGTTTTGAATAATATTATGTACCCACTTGAAATTTTCTTCATTTGAATGACCAGTTAGTTAATGTATAAGTGTGTATAAGTTTGTATAAGTTTTATTAAGTTTATTAAGTATAAGTTTTTAAAAATAAAAGACCAGTTAGTTAATCAGATTACAAAGGCAACTCTTTATTTTCTAGAAATCAGGGATGTATTACTACAAAAAATATGTTAGTTAGTTATATCAACGTGGCCGGATTCCAGTGAAATGGTTTTATGACAAATCAAGGCATACAGTATATTCGTTCATAATTTACTATGCGGTTCGTCAATGTTCGGTGAGAACCATGGGCAATTTTCTGATCCTGTTCTTGCGAATTATATTCAAAGAATATTCAAAAATAAGAAATTACGCATTGCTTTTAGAATTGGGCATTTGAATTAAGTTAAGCTATCTACGTTTAACTACTTTTTCCAGCAATAATCGAATGTCATGATAATAAGTTGAACTGGTTGGAACAAATTATAATTTCGTTATTTGCGTTAATAACGAACACATTGGTTCTTTATTTAAAGTTCTTGCCGATTTCATCACTAACTTATTCGCATATGCCACGAAATTTGAATATTCATCAATTAGTAATCTGACGGAAATCCTTCTTTGAAAAGTATAAGCAGGATCCAGATTATCACTAGAGGAATACCAAGCCAAATTTGTTACAAATCCTGTTTCAATATTTTGCGAGAAAGAGTGAGAAACTCTGACTCGTGTCCACCACCACCACCATCGTGAGACAGAGTCGTAGTGTGTGACATCTCCGTTCTCACTCTCGCTCTCAACCAACATCTTGAAATTGATAAGTAATTAGATGAGCAAAGGACCGCTAATTTTGATATCAGACACTTTCGAATCCTTTTGTTAATAGAACCGCAACTTTGGCAGTTTCGTTGAAAAAATTTATTTCATTCCCACCCAAATTATGTCCAAAACACAATGTTTTTTACCTGCAACTTAATTGTAACGATTGTAATAAGTAAAAAAATACCATACGCTAAAAGCGTCTATTCTATATACCTTTCAAATTCGATAAAATTTGCAAAATGGCCTCAATGTTGTAGATGTTTATCACATTCTGGAACGTAATGTTTGAATTTTTCAGATTGTTCCACGAGCCAAAAGCTTCCATTGCTTGCTTGTCGTTGAAGGATATATGTAGTATCCCCGGACGAAAACACATTGATTAACTTATTTGATTTATTCATTCATTGATTCAATTTATTTTTAAATCATTAACGTTTGAGTAATTTCGTGCCGAAACGAACTTCATATTTATAAAATATTTATTCAAGTTCATTACATGCATTTCCGGATATATTGTATATGGATTTGTACTTTGCACGAGAAGATATTGATTTTATGTAATCATTTGATCATGCATGCAAGTGTTAAATTGTAACCACTCGTGTAGTTAACATGTCGAGCGCTCCCTCTGGGAGTGTGAGTGGAGTTGCGTAGTGGAAAGTGGCTACGTGACAGAGGAGAAGAAGAAGAAGGACGAGGTGACATTTTGTTATTTGGTGAAAACGTGTAATATATAAAGTTAAGCATTGAAGCCGAGTCCGGCAGTAATAAATAGCCTCTTCGACTGGAACAACTGCCTCTTCCTCTCCAAGATATATTTATTTGGCAAAGTAGCCCAGTCACCAACATCCTCTCATCTCAGCATATGCATCTCATCATCATCCTTACGGGAACGGTCATCCGGCGATCTGGGTACAGTAAGTAAATACATGGGAGGTCACTGGGGGGAACCGCCCAGTGAGAGCAAGGTAGTTTCAAAATCCGAATCATGCATAAAGCATAATACTTATCAATGTTGCGCTTACATATGTACAGGTAGTTGTATGTAAGATAGCGCATAAAACATTTATACCGAAATATATTAAACACAGATGTCGAACTTCTTATGGGAATGATTTCTGGAATGATTATTTCTTCAACAAACGTTATTCATTTTAAAATTATCATGATTGTACTTATTATACACACTCATTTATGTAATTGTTTTTGATATTTGATAGATTACATAATCGCTGATAATGAACGCGTGATTAGTCTTGTATGGATGCTGGATAATGTCCAACCATAAGTATTCCAGCTATGCCATGGACCCAGTATCTAATCTAGACCTTTAAACTTGGATCGTCATGTGCGGCCAGGATTATAGATTTCTAATTCGTTGCGCGATCATGATCTTAATAAATCCGCAGAAATTAATTATGACCATGAGAAGTCAATTACATCCTATTGCATTGTCGATTGTCATTACTCTTACTGCTGATGTGTGTGTAATTTTTAGTCTAATAGTTTTTTTTGCTATTACTTAACCATTTGAAAATCGGTAGTAATGCTATAATTCTGAACTCCATTGAAGACGTGAATTATTTAAAATTTTCCACTCTCATGCAAACCAAATCATGGAATGGTGATTGATTGGCATATAACATTATTAATAATCTGGCATAAGTAAAGTGTACGCACATGGATCTGTGTTCGTGTTCGACCACCCAACGGTTATAATATTTTTTTCTGACCAGTTGAATTCTTGAAAATGAGAAATCTC